GACAGACTGGTCCACGTGTGCAGCGAGACCGTGGCGCAGAGCATCCGGCAGTGCATCGCCGAATCCCCTGACGAAGTCCCCGCTAACGTCAAGGACATCGGCCTGGAGAGAGGGGCGGCCATCATCGGGGACATGATCAAGGAGTTCGTGGCCACGCTGCCCTCCGACGTCGATAAGGAGGGGGAGGCCTGCAAAGGCGAGGGGGGCGCGGAGGGTGAAGACGGGAGGGACGCCACGCCCCTCGCGGAAGATACGACGGTTGTCCCCGAGACCAAAGACGACGACGACGACGACGACGACGGCAAGGAGACGCCAACGTCGCCGCCGACGCCTCCTCCTGACGAGATAAGAGAAGCCTTACTCGACGACGATGAGGCGGAAACCATAAAAGATTCATCCTCGCCAAGAACGAGTCAAGATATCTGCGATGATAACACTTCAGGCGAAGCGCCTGGCGGAGTAAGAATAAGTGGCTGCGGCAGCACGTTCGTGCTGCCCTCCTTCAAGAAGCTGGAGGAGCCCAAAGTTGTGAGCAGGAGAGGCTCCCTGGACGCGCAGGAGTCGTCGCGAATCCGGCTTAGCAAGACGGGGAAGATCGAGGTCGTGGACGCAAGCGAAGTCGGCGACGAGCCCGACCCCATCACGGAAGAGGGCGGCGACCGCCTCGACTCGGAGGATGAGGGCAGATTTCAGGACAGCGTGAGCTCCCAGCAGGAGGGCCCCGACGCGCCCTCAGCCCGGAGGAGTAGCTTCACGGAGCGGTTCAACCTGTGGCGGATGTCGTGGAAGTACAAGAACGACAGCCAGCCGCCGAGTCGCAGCGAATCGCTCAAGATCCGGCTGATGCAGCGGCGTGCGAGCGGCTCCGAATTCAGCATGAGTTACGACAGCGTGCGGCGCTCGATGTCCGGGAACTTAAACGACCTGTTTTCCGGGGGCGGTCAGAGGCGCGCGAGTACCGTGGAGACGCCGAGGCTTGCCAGGAGGAACTCGGAGCAAAAGGCATCGTATCCGAGGCGCGGGTCGCTTACCAATCTGATCTTTAGGAGTGCTAGCGACACCAGTGCCTCCCAGAGGTTTAATGTGGACGATAGACTCCGGAAGATCAACAAGATGGACAAGGCGTCGGTCGAGCGGGCCTCGGATGCATACAGCTACTTCTTCGACTACCCTGTCCTGCACCAAGGTAACTGGAGGGGTAGTGGCCAGGCCCCCCTTGTTCTGGGCCCCGCTTGCTAATGGTATAGCTTGGTAGGTTGTGCTCTCTCTCTCTCTCTCTCTCTCTCTCTCTCTCTCTCTCTCTCTCTCTCTCTCTCTCTCTCTCTCTCTCTCTCTCTCTCTCTCTCTCTCTCCCTCTCTCTCTCTCCCTCTCCCTCTCTCTCTCTCTCTCTCCCTCTCTCTCTCTCCCTCCCTCCCTCTCTCTCTCTCTCTCTCTCTCTCTCTCTCTCTCTCTCTCTCTCTCTCTCTCTCTCTCTCTCTCTCTCTCTCTCTCTCTCTCTCTCTCTCCCTCTCCCTCCCTCCCTCCCTCTCTCTCTCTCTCTCTCTCTCTCTCTCTCTCTCTCTCTCTCTCTCTCTCTCTCTCTCTCTCTCTCTCTCTCTCTCTCTCTCTCTCTCCCCCTCTCTCCTCCCTCTCTCCCTCTCTCCCTCCCTCCCTCCCTCCCTCCCTCCCTCCCTCCCTCTCTCCCTCTCTCCCCCGTCCTCCCAGCACGCACTCGTGCTCACATTTGGGTATTCACCTTCACCTTGTGCTTTGAAACCTGGACAGGAAGTAAAGTGAAGCTCAGTAACAGTAGGAAAATACAGCTGGTAATTCCACAGTGCATTTTGACACGTCTTATCATGTTGTGGCTGTCGTCTCTCAGTATTGTTTTCTGGACTGGAAAAGCATTTGAAGATAATAATATGCATTTTTCTCACACACACACACACTCACACTCACACTCACACCCACACTCACACTCACACACACACACACACACACACACACACACTCACTCACTCACTCACTCACTCTCACTCTCACTCTCTCACACACACACTCACACTCTCACACACACACACACACACACACACACACACACACACACACACACACACACACACACACACACACACACACACACACACACACACACACACACACACTCTCTCTCTCTCTCTCTCTCTCTCTCTCTCTCTCTCTCTCTCTCTCTCTCTCTCTCTCTCTCTCTCTCTCTCTCTCTCTCTCTCACTTACACACTAGAAATGAAAAATGCTTTTGAAGTATAATATTTTGTCTTGTATTTTGTATCACTATAATTCCTTTTACATATTTTGTTCTTATTTACTTAACAGTGATTTTTTTCATTGCTTATCTCCCTTTTTTTTCTATATTTCTCAGCTTATTACCTTTTAATGAGTTAATCCTCACCATTTTATTTTACAACTTACTACTGGCATTATATATTTGTTTTACTTAAAGAAAAAATAAGAAATAAAAGCAAATCACATGCAAACTGTTATGTAACTCTTCTCCATTTCAACATGAATGATCATAAAGTGAATCAGGTTAAAAAAACAATTATATTACTTTGATTTTTTTATTATAATCATAAATTCATCAGAGATGTCAAAACATGCTTATTGTACTTGTATAAAATGGAAAAACTTCCTATATCTTGCAGTGAAAAATATAAAGAAGGAAAAGGTTTGGTACATAATACAAAAATACATTCATCTTTTCTTGAATCCATACTTCTTTCTCTCATAGAACAGATCTGTCTTTGAAGATCCCAGGTTAACAATTTTGGGGCATCCATCTCTGTCTTTCTCTAAAACTGTGCACTCCTTGCAGTAATAAGCATCAGATACACCTGTAGTAAGAAAGAAAAAAATATTAATAGGTTTTAAACATTCTAATAGACAATGGAATTATATTTCCGATTGCTGAGATGAATATGAGATTTTCTGTATGAATAGTAAAACGGTGTACATGTATATATTTATAAAACACCATGTGCCTCTTTCAACAATCATAGTTATGCAAGTAATAAACAAGTGCCCATGGATAGAGAGTTATATGTATATATATATGCTATAATTAATTTCTGGGCTAGGTTTGGCAAGGCTTCTGGTCCAACTTTTGTACTGCTTTGCAATCTAGGGATTGATTTACAGTGTCGAGAATGTAGATGCTTTGTACTTGATATCTTTAAATAGGGTAACATGTATCAGCTACTTGGGGCTTAGAAAAACTATAATTCCCTAAAGATATAGTCTTGACATGAAAAGGTTATAAGCATAAGAATTTACAAATATTATGAATTGAATTTAAATGACCAAAATTTCTTGGGTGAATATGTTCTATTCATGAAATCTTTTGACTATCCTTTTTTTACACAAGTCACTGATAAAGATTTAGTAAAGAGTGAAACAAGTTTGTAAATGCATAGTGTCAGCAAGTCCCAAATGCCCCATAACACTACATAATCTTTAGTGTGGTGATGAAATTTTATTACAGTTGTATAGATTCGTGAGTGGCTGCGGGGAAATGTAATGCACATTGGTAATAGGAATTTTGTATATACCTCAGGTTACATTAATAACAATTGATAACGCACTTAGTGATAAAGCATGATATGTAACAATCATTACCAGGAATATAAATATATAGATAATTTTGTAGCCACATTTCCACAAAGCACAATCAAACAGAAAAGGAGTATCCACGTATCCTCACCGGGGCCTCCACAGATGACACATCTTCCCTGATAGGACCCGTAATTGCACTCGTCACAGATCCTCACGAGCGTACACGGCCTCACGTACGAGTCGCAGATCACGCACTTGCCGTCACACTTCTCGCACAGACGCCCGATAGCTACGCCCGGTTGCTTGCGACAGAAAATCAAGTCGGGGTGATGCTTCGCCATGTTCTCCTACGCTCCTCCGATCAATACTCCGTCGGTCTTTAGCACTTCCGGCTCGCCACTGCCTCTATTTCTATAATTTAGCTGAGGAGTAAGTCCCCGGGCCAAGTGGAAGTGCCGAACGTTTGTTTTGTTTTGGTTGGCGTCAACGTCTGGCAGCAGCGGTGGAGTCGGCACGAAGATCCACGCGTTCGGGACAACATGGCGGCGGCGGAGGCAGCGCGGCGGGGAAGCCGGCTCGCGGGGCATGCGCGCGAGGGGCCGCACCCTCTCGCCATGCCGCAGCCGCCACCTTAGGAATTGTATTATCATCTGATGGATTTTCTCTCGCTAACTAGTATAATTTTTCCTTTTCGTTTTATCGTTGGCATTGAGCGAGGGATTTGTATTTTGGCGGTAAATTTGAATTACTTTTTATTATTATATATACCGTGCACATACATACATACAGACATATATATATATATATATATGCGCACGCGCACACACACACACACACACACACACACACACACACACACACACACACACACACACACACACACACACACACACACACACACACACACACACACATTCATGCACATATGTATGTATACATTTTTTCTTCTTTTAAGTCACTTATTGCTTGGTGCCGTTCCTTTTAGTTGATATTATTGGAATGCTGAATGGAATCAGTTTTAGTATTTAATACAAGAACGATAATGTTTGTCAGAATAGGAAGCCATATAAAGTGCGTCACTCCACCTCTCATGCCTGCCTTCGCTCCTTACGTATGCGTTTATTTAAACATTTCACCACCGCTACACATTAATACATTTATTTATTCATTTATTATTATTATTATTTAAAATTCCAAAGCTTTACATGCCATTATGCCAAGACGGCAGGTCAATAATCATTGATTGACCAGTTCCCTTAACACGTGTAGAATTCGATAACACCAGTTTTGGCCTCCACAAATGCCTATTAACTAGATAAAAATCCCAAGATAAAATAACTCGCAAGATAACGGCCGCGTCGATGAACTCGGTATATTAACTGCGTGTGACACTTTGGGAGAGAGAGTGTACAGAGAGATCATGGTGATTGGAGGAGGACTCAGTCGTTTTGGGGAGTTTAATGTGCGATGACGCAGACTTTGACATCGGGGAATCTGCGGTCATCGGTGCCATCTTGACTCTGATTAAACTCTGTAATGTATTAAATGTATTGACGGTAGTTTGGGGTAATTGTGTAGTGTGTGTTTGTTTATGTGTGTGTGTGTGTGTGTATTCTTTGTGATTAGAGCGTGTAGTGCATTGGGGAGTTTCTGAAGTAATGCGCTTAATGATATTTTGATGACGTTGCGTTACGTAAATTAATGCTGTTTGATTAGTTTGTGTGATATTTTAGCATTAGTGATTAGAATATTTGTGTGTGTGTGTGTGTGTGCATTGCCGTTTTTTATGCAATTCGGGGACGTATTGATATTACCTGAATAAAATGTGTAAGTATTGAGAATGTTTTGGATACTTCTTTTGGGTTCTGCGAAGAAATAAAAAAGTAATGATAATAATAAAAGGGAATTACAGAAGATTATGTCATTTATTTTTTCATTTATTCATTCAATTTGCTCTCCATTAAACTGTTTTCTAAGACAGATAAAAACGGTAGGTATCTTATTTGTTATTTAAAGTGATATCAAAGAGTCCACGTGAATTATCTGTTACGTCATAAGGGACCTGCGTTCAGTTGTGTTTTTCTTTGCACGGGTTAACAATTTTTCTTTGCCTGAGTTGACAAGAGTTCATGATTCTGAATTCAAACCAGTGTCTCACTTGGGTTTCATGTTTAGGGCTGTTACGGCTGTTTAGCCATATTCTTTTCTATGTTATTTTTTTCAGGTAGATGTAGAATAAATCAGTCTTCATATATATATATATATATATATATATATATATATATATATATATATATATATATATATATATACACACACACACACACACACACACACACACACACACACACACACACACACACACACACACACACACACACACACACACACACACGCACATATGTATATATATGTGTGTGTATGTATGTATATATGTTTATATACATATATATATACATCTATACATATATATAATTATATACATACATATGCATATACTTATAAACACGCGCGCGCGCGCGCGCCCAGCACACACAAACACACATTTGTGTAAAGATACCTAGGATACAAATTGATTATCTAATGCACCTCTTTTTCACTGTACACTTGTATAGATAACCGATCTTAATTAGATTTATGTAAACCTTATTTCATAACTTTCACTAGTACTAATTATATTATATTGGTATCGAATAAACTGGTACTCTGTTTGTAGCAACCACTTCGTATTTTTGTTAGCATTAAGTAACTAGTTTTCTGTATGACTACACATGCCGTGTTAAAGGTAGTATTATGTAAGGATTATATCAGTGATAGTAAGTGATTATTTTGTTTGCATTTGCCAGTAAGCATTGTTTTTATAGTTTTTATCAAAAAGTATTCGTTTGTTATAGTGTATATCAATAAGTATTACTTTGTTATAGTATTTCGCAAATAAGTATTCTTGTTTTATGGTACTTCTCAATGAAGTATTACTTTGACATAGTATTTCCCCTTAAGTATTTACTTGTTGTACCCTCATTCATACATTCACGTATTATCATCGGTAAGTATTCCCTCGTCTTACCCTCGCCTTCATCCCCCCCCCCCTCTCAGCAGCAACATTAACCAGCAACTCCCCCCCTCTCTCTCCTCCAGACGCGAGAGAGCTTGCCCGGCAGGAGCTCCACTCCGCCCTGCGCGAGTCCTGTAGCCGCGGCGATGTGTCCCGAGCGAAGGCCATCCTGCGGGACCTCGGCGCCGAGGCTGAGATCATCATCAACTCGGCGCCCAACGGATCCAACACGCTGCTCTTCAAGTAGGTCGGGGGAAGGGCGTGCTTGGAGGGGGTGAGCGTGGGCTGGGGTGGGTTGATGTGGGTGGGAGGTGGGTGGGTTGATGGGGGCGGGGGATGGGGTGGTTGATGGGGGCGGGGTATTGGGTGGGAGGTGGGTTGGGTTGATGGGGGCGGGGTATTGGGTGGGAGGTGGGTTGGGTGATGGTGGTGAGGGATGGGGTGGGAGGTGGTTATTGGGTGGGAAGTGGGTGGGTTGGGTTGATGGGGGTGGGGGTGGGGTGGGTTTAAGAGGAATGGGGTATTGGGTGGGAAGTGGGTGGGTTGGGTTGATGGGGGCGGGGTATTGGGTGGGAAGTGGGTGGGTTGGGTTGATGGGGGTGAGGGATGGGGTGGGAGGTTGGTGGGTTGATGGGGGTGAGGGATGGGGTGGGAGGTGGGTTGGGTTGATGGGGGTGGGGGTGGGGTGGGTTTAAGAGGAATGGGGTATTGGGTGGGAAGTGGGTGGGTTGGGTTGATGGTGGTGAGGGATGGGGTGGGAGGTTGGTGGGTTGATGGGGGCGGGGTATTGGGTGGGAAGTGGGTGGGTTGGGTTGATGGGGGCGGGGTATTGGGTGGGAGGTGGGTTGATGGGGGTGAGGGATGGGGTGGGAGGTGGGTGGGTTGATGGGGGTGAGGATGGGGTGGGAGGTGGGTTGATGGGGGTGAGGATGGGGTGGGAGGTGGTTGGGTTGGTGGGTTGATGGGGGATGGGGTGGGGGATGGGTTGGGTTGATGGGGGCAGGGCAGGGGGTGAGGGATGGGTGGGTTGATGGGGATGGGGGTGGGAGGTGGGTTGGGTTGATGGGGGCAGGGGATGGGTGGGTTGATGGGGCGGGGTATTGGGTGGGAAGTGGGTGGGTTGGGTTGATGGGGGTGGGGGTGGGGTGGGTTTAAGAGGAATGGGGTATTGGGTGGGAAGTGGGTGGGTTGGGTTGATAGGGGTGGGGGTGGGGTGGGTTTAAGAGGAATGGGGTATTGGGTGGGAAAGTGGGTGGGTTGGGTTGATGGGGGTGGGGGTGGGGTGGGTTTAAGAGGAATGGGGTGGGTATGGGTGGAATGGGTTGAAGGGAGGGGGTGTGGTTAGGTATGGGAGTTGGATGGAAGGGACATGACAAAATGATGGATGGGGGGGGATTGGGTAGGGTTTACTTTGAAAGGAAATAAAGTAAAAGGCTAGAGGTGGGTGGTTGAGTTGGGTAGGGGCAGATTAGGCTAAAAGATCCAGTAATATGACAGGATGAGGTAAACTGATAGATTTCCTTGTCTGTCAGTTACTAATGTATCTTTGTCTCTCTTTTTATTTCTATTTCTCATTCTCTCCCTTTCTCTCTATTTCTCTTTCTACTTCTTATCTTCTCTCTTTCTACTTCACATTTTCTCTTATTCTCTCAATTTTTTTCTTTTTTTCATTTCTCATTTTCTCTCTTTCTACTTCACATTTTCTCTCATTCTCTCAATTTTTTTCTATTTTTATTTATCATTTTCTCTCATTCTCTCTATTTTTTCAATTTTTATTTATCATTTTCTCTTTCCATTTATATTTCTCGTTTTCTCTTTCTTTTTCTCTCTCTCATTCTCTCTCTCTCTTTCTCTCTTTCTCTCTTTCTTTCTCTCTTTCTCTCAATATCATTCACATGCCTGACCAGCATCCACTTTCCAGAGCATGCGAGGAGGGGCAGCGCGAGATGGTGCGACTGTTGCTTGACCACGGTGCAGACGGAAGGATCCATCCAGTCACCAAGTACTCGCCTTTGTACATTGCGTGCTACTATGGCCGCAGGGACATCGCTGAAATGCTGCTTAAGGTATCGATTTTGCCAGTTGCATTAGGATTAATTCTGTAATGTAATATACTGCTGTGTATGTAGTTGATTTGCTACGTGTGTGTGTGTGTGTGTGTGTGTGTGTGAGTGATTGTATATTGTTCAGTTAGTATATTTGCTTTTGTATATTAAATCCATAGATTGATTGATGGATAGATATGTGACATACTTCATAGGTTTTGTACGACTTCATCATATATAAGTAATTAAATTACTATCAGTCTTTCTTTCCACATGTCACTCTATACTTTTTCTCATCTTGCAGAAATTTCCAACTTTAGTTAATGTCTCAACTGTAGAGCGATGGCTGCCCTTGCACGCTTGTATCATCAATGGTCACACTTCCGTTCTGGAACTGTTGCTCAAGTTTCCGTATCCAGAGGAAGCTTTGAGAAAGTATTGGTAAGCTCTAGTGTATTGTATTATTTTGAATGTAAAATACTTCACAAGAAATACATCTGTTAAGGATTTGCTTTGAGGGTAAAATAGAGGAATACAGTTAATAATATTTTCTGCTGCCAAAGTAACTGGTTATTCCTTCTGCTTTCAGGGACAAAACTGGGCAGTATGAGTATGAGATGGCATTTGACATCAACATGAAAGATGTCACTGGACAAAGTGCTTTGTACTTAGCATGTTATGTGGGCAACCAAAAACTTGTGGACCTTCTTTTGAAGCACAGAATACAAGCAACCAAAGTTAAGGTTAGTTATTTCTATTTATGTACCATACTTTCTTGCATTGTTATAAATATATTTGTCACTATAATTATTTGTACTAGATTTAGTAAAGCAATAACTTTTTCATAAGCTTTTGATTTTTTCACATGAATTAAAGAACTCATACTATTTAATATATCTTGTGTATATTTTGTGCAAGTGAAATGTACAGCCAAACTCATTTACACTCATGGATTGCAGACCAAAGAAGAAATCGAGAAGGAGAGACAGCAGAAAGAAATGGACTCGAGCAGCAACGACTCCAAGTCCAGCAGCAGAGAGAACACTAAGACGAGCATTGACTCCACCTCGGACTTAGCGGAGAAGAGTGATGACGTTGCCAGCCCCACCAAGCACCGCATTTCGGGAGGGATTCAGGCCCTGATGTCAAAGCTGAATCTCGTGAAAACGGATGCCAATCAAAAGGATAACATGATCTCGCCTCTTGATATTGATATGTACTGTAATAGCAACACAGGTGAGGCCCTGAAAGAAGTATGGAGATATTTTTTAAATCCCCAACATGGTAAATTAAGTCCTTGAGTATGATTGATTAAATTCCTAGGATGTGATAGATAAAAAATTTAGATATCTTTGAGTATAATCAAGAAAACTGACAAAAAAATGAAATCATCTAATTTTCACAGAGACGGCTCTTCACATAGCTGTGAAAAACAAGCATCACAGTATTGTGTCAATGCTGTTAGCAGCTGGAGCCAACCCCAACCTGCGAGTGTATCTGCCAGATGACGAGATGGCCAGATTAGCCGAGGACGAATATATATTCACAGGTTTGATCTTTTTTTTTCCTTTTTCTTTTTTCCTTAGTACAGGGTTAGGGTTTGTTTTCAGATAGAATAATTGTTTTTGAGGGTATTTTAGGGTTGGACGTTTATTTTTCAATGGATTTTTGTTTTCTGCTTTTCAAAAGATAGGATGGCATTCATGTTTTTTAGTAGGAATCCCAAAAGCTGAAGTTGATTGATCAATTACTTATCTATTATGTGATGTCATTTACCACTGCCTGTATAATGAGTAAGGTATTCAATATATATAACTTTTACATAAAACTGATATTAGTGTATAATTTTGAATTTATTTATGTTTATTGTTTTTACTGTTAGATAGATAGATCTTGGTAAATCATCTAGATAGGGAGTTAGAGATATATTGATTTGTTAATTGATTAACTCACCCATTTTTTTCAGCCTTTTTGTTTATATTTTTTGTTTATAATTTAGCTGATGGTTAATATTTTTTGATGGTCTTTAAGATATCAAAAAACAATATTTACAGCTAACTGTCATTTTGCCGGTGTCAATGAATTTGCCATAGACACCAGTGACATAATAAAGGGGAAACAGAGAATCCATATATTCTCCCTTAACCCAGTGCTGCCAGGAACATGTTCAGTTCTAGTTTTGTTTTGTGGAATGTGTTTACACTTAGATGGCTCCACAAGAGTTCAGCCACAAAAGAGTCAAAAGAGTCAAGTAGTAGAGCTGACTCCTTGGTGACTAAGTACTTGTAGAGCCATCTGTGTGTAAAATAACTAATTAACAAAACTCACAGTAGGCATGGCATGTACTATCCTTGATGGCACTGAGTTAAGGTGTGTGAAATGTTACCTCAATAGTTAATGTTAAACAGTTCACAAATGACCTACTGACATATTCAAATCATTGGTAAAACAGTAAATAATAGTCAGGCAAGGTACTCCATTGAAGTCTTTGGGAGTGGGAGCTACTACCCTCCACATGTGCCCTCTGCCTTATGAAAATTCTAGTTATGTCCCTGGAGAATACTAACAAATTTGATGTGCAGTCTGTGATTAATATTGAATTAATTTCAAATATTTAATGAAAGTAAAGGAAAGATAAGTTCAAAACAACTGTTGTTGACATTTTAACCCAATTCCACCAGGCATGGCATGTACACATATGCCATGCCCACTATGAGTTTACTTTATTAATTGTTTAATACATAGATGGCTACACTTGTACTGAGTCACCAATGAGCCAGTTACAAGTACTGCCTATCTTGCCTGTTTACTCTTTTCCTTGATTTACAAAATTGTTTTTCGTTATCTTATTTTGCTGTTACTAATATTTATAACATTATAGTAATTATAATGTCTATGATAAAAATAACACCAATGATTAATAAAAAAATTTAGTAAAAAAAAGTTTTCCCACCAAATTCAAGGAAAGGTGATATCAGGGAAGGTCACAAGGTCTACTGATTGACTCCTCAGTGGCTAAGCACTAGCAGAGCCATCTATGTGCAGAGACATTCACAAAAAAATTCAAAATGAGCTCAGCATTTTCCCGGTGGCATTGGGTTAAATTTCGATCAGGAAAGAAAACCATTTGGTTTCATCATTAACATACAATTACCAGAAGTTGATTTATATGCTAAAAGAAAGTTATATTTCTATATAGAATGTATTTGTTGGTGGTGTTCTTTGTTGCTATATTTTGCAATTGTAGATGAAATGTGCTGCACTGTTTACTGTAGGTATGATTAGAAAGGCACAACGTAGTTTGGAAAGAAAAAGAAATGTGTGAAGCTTGCTGGAGAAAACACTTAGGCTTAAGTGCTATTGTAGAATCCCTTTCACCTTCTTCTTCTTCTGCTACTTCTTCTTCCTCATTTGAAAAGTTAAATTTTTAAGAAAGGAGATTTACTGATTGGCAGTTCACAAAAACAGAAACTATCTACTAACGACGTAGGTGTAGGATAAACAATTTAAAAACAAACAAACAAAAACTAGATGCCCTGTGTTGCTGGATATGAAGTTTGATTATCCAGTCTCACAGTGAACAGTTGGCTGAACAGTGCAGGACAGTGTCTTCAGTGATTAAGATGTGGCCAGATACATACAAGACAAAGAAGACACATAGTGAATTACCCTCATCACGTGGACAAACATGCATATGTATGTACATTCACACACACACACACACACACACACACACACACACACACACACACACACACACATCCACATCCACATAGACATCCACACACATCCACAGACACAGACACACGTACTTACACTAAAGGTATCTCATTTTTCTTGTACCAACAGACTGCTTTAGAAACAAAAACTTTCATTCAAACTTTGACTATGTATACAAAGAAATTAGGCTCTACCAAGCTATATGGGGCAACAAAATTCCATCAGGCTCCACAGCGCTGGTCGAGGCTTGCCGGAACAGGGACTTGGGCATGCTGGACCTCCTTCTAAAAAGCCATGCCAGGGACGACGAGTGCAAGGCCCTCTTCATTGCAGCGCACGCCAAAGATGAAATCATAGTGTCCAAGCTTCTGGCGCTCAAGGTAGGCTCCCTGTGCAAACGTCTACATGTACTTGTTTTTTCTCTTATTTTCTGTTTTTTGGCTGTTTCTTTTTCTTCTTCTTTTTTTCTTTTTTTCTTTCTTTCTTTATTTATTTATTCTTTCTCCTTATATTTTTTTCCATTGCCTCTCCCATCCCTTTCTACTACTTCTTCTTCTTCTCCTCCTCCTCCTCCTCCTCCTCCTCCTCCTCCTCCTCCTCCTCCTCCTCCTCCTCCTCCCCCCCTCCCCCCACACACATTTCCAGTCTCTTCTATTTTTTAACATTTTGAAAATATTTTTAGAATTTATTAACCACCATTAAGTTGAAGTTTATGGTATATGGATGATATCATAAGTTGGAGAAAGTGATAAACAGGAAAGTCTGATGAACACATAATATTGTGAATGTATATTTACCTACTTTTTGTTAACAGGCACACCCAGACCCAGAGTTCAAGGTGAACAAAAGAGCTCTAGAAATTAAACCGAGCCAACAATTCAGTTCCTTGAGTGTCAGCAATGCCGGGGGTGTTTATTCTTCATTGGCCCCCTCCACGCCAGTCATGATTAACTGGCACGGGCAGAGATGTCTGTCATATCTGAAGGTGCGTCTTCTTCGTTCTGAGTGTTGGGGATACTGAAGTGGCAAATCTTATTTATGTGTTTTCAGCATATATGTTTTTGATAATACTATTTACCATTATGTGATCTTTTGTGTGTCATGAAATTATCATTATTATTATATAGTTGCTTGATGTTTAAGATTGTTATTTTTACATTGTTCCTATTGTATGTTTGATTTTAATTAAATGGAAAACATAAATGGTTATGTAGATTAAACAACAAGAACACTTTCCACAGGACCAATGGCTAGTTGATGCCTCGGTAAACCTGAACCCAAAGCTGAGGTTGAGTCCACGCAACCAAGTGATCGCCCTGTATGCCATCACGCGCTTGGACATCTCAAACAACGCTCTCACAGAGTTGCCTGACATGATCTTCCAACTTCCTAGTCTGAAGGTAGAGAGAAATATTAGACTTTGTGTGTGTGTGTGTGTGTGTGTGTGTGTGTGTGTGTGTGTGTGTGTGTGTGTGTGTGTGTGTGTGTGTGTGTGTTTTCTGGTTATTGGTATGTTCACATCTGTATTGGATTTTGAATAATTATAGAATTGATACTCTGTGAGGTTTGAGTATATGTCAAATATTTACTGTGAAATATTTATGTATGTCACCTTTCTTGTGTGTGGAAGTATAGTGTATATAATAGGTGAATATTATGTATATTGTCATTTAGCAGATGTTATGAAAATACAAATTAATATTTATAGCACACACATCATATTATCATCCTTCTCTCCTTGCAGACTTTGAATGCAGCCCAGAACAAGATTGAGAAACTCCCCCCAAACATAGGACATTTTATCGATGGCACCGTGACTCTCCCGCGGAAAGGTTCCAAAAAAGAGCTTGTGATTGGTCCTTTGTCTGTATTAGAGGAGGTCCATTTACAGGTAAGAAGGCTAAGTAGACATTTTAATCAGTGTAAAAGGCATTTTATATGTGGTACAAGAAAAGTGTTTAGTGTTAAATGACAAGCAAAATGTGAGGAAAATTAGGTTTTTAAGAAGAATGCGGTGGATATTGGTATCAGTAATCTTGATGAAATAGCATATTTTAAAAGACTAGAATAAACCCAAGAATGTTAATGTTTGTATGCTCTTTTATTCTGTTTACCATTATTGATTCTTTCATTTGCTTATTCCTTTTTGTTTTCCAGGACAACAGATTAGACTCCTTACCAGATGGAATCTTTACACTCCCTGCACTCCAGCTTCTTGACGTATCCAACAACAAGCTGTCCTCCTTACCTTACAAGATCTGGACGGCCCCTAAGCTGAGAGAGCTCAACGCGTCCCTCAACCTCCTACACGACCTCCCCGTTCGACCTGAGGGGCAAGGTCATGACTCTGGTAATGCATTAACTGTTTATCTTGATTTTTGTCCTGGAATTGGTGAAGGGAGTTTTTTTTTGTTTGTTTTTTTTGTATTGATGGAAGCATGAGAGACAGTTTTGGCAATATGATCATCTGTTTCAATTATGAGTACTTATTAGAGATCTATTGTAATGTGATTGAGAGTTATATTTTGAAGAGATCTGATTTAGTTCAATTTCTTTCTGTGTCATCTTTCCAAGCGACTTTATATACTGATAATTTTATTATTCTCATATTAAAAAGGCATGAGTTCTGATGCTGTAAGTGAGGTGAGTGACGAGGACAGCCTCTCATCAGCCAGTGAACTACAGCTGAGTCTCATGGACGATTCAACAGATGAGTCTCCAGCACGGAGGAAGACACCAGACCACAGGTGAATTTTGGCTATAACTTTTTGCCTTCATATCAGCATAGGTATCTTTTTCTTCATTAGCATTTATATATTTGCATGTCTCTTTTTTTTGTGTGTGTGTGTTTTTTTATCTGTATAGGGAAATACTTCAAACAAATATTAATGTAATATAAAATATTTATAATGGACAGATAAGAAAAAAGTATGAAATGTTTTGGTATCTACTTTCAGAGGGGTTCTCTCCCTGGGCAAGCATGGCAATGTCATCACCTGCTGCCGACGTCGAGACCTGAAGCACCACAGCCTCTGGTCCAATACAGTGGAGATCCAGGAGTCTCTTGTCGGTGTCAGAGAGACAGAAGAGGAGACCATGTCCAACCTCCAGTCTCTCAACCTATCTCACAACTCTTTTACGTCCGTTCCCAGTGGCCTGGCCTGCCTGGCTCTTTCTCTCAACCGTCTCAACCTTAGTTATAACAGGTGAAGAACAAAGTTGGGCTTTGATGACTTTTCTTTGTGTCTGTTAGTGTGTTGGAGTTTTTCACTGGCTTTTTACATACAAATGTCATTAATCTTTATTTTCATTTACCTGTATCCTTTTAGATTAAGTGAGATGGGCGCAGCCACTTGCTATCCTGTCGGGTTAAAGCAGTTGGATCTCTCTCACAACCGTATCCGAGCCTGGCCTACAGTTTCTCGTAGTGAGTCGCTGGAAAGCCTCGAGTCAACCTTGCCATCATGTTACGCCCTTGCTGAAGTATCCAGGAGTGCTAAATTTGCATGCCAAGGTAGGTATACGAACTGTGCCTCCACCCTTTTGTTTGTGGTGGTCTTCTTATCTTTTGCAATGAGGTAGGGTGTCTTATTTCCACTGTTTGATTTTTGTGATTACAATATCTGTTGTTTGTGGAGTATGGCTGTGTTAGAAGAGTGGTACTTAGTTAAAAGGGCCTTCTTATTTTTTAATTCATTCCATTATTTACAATTTAAAGGAGTGAAATTAGTTTGTAGTATGTTCGGTTAGATATGAATATGGATACCTTCCTTCATATCCTGTATATCTAAAAGATAGTCACAGATTGTTCCTGTAAACCATTATTTTGAATGATATATAATATATTATTTGATAGATAGTTCTTCAAACATTGGTGTATTCTATATAGAGTTACAATTGTATTGAAGAATAGGTAATGCAGACATAGTAGTAGGAAGCTGTTTAGATATACTATTTATAGGTAGATGGATGGAATGATATAGAATCATAGTTGTGTTATGATTGTTTAGATGAGTGTGCATTTGTTTGTATATATGGGTGTGTGTGCTAATTGGTGTGCTTGTCTATATGTCTTCCCTCTGTAGGATTACGATTGTGTGTGTGTGTGTGTGTGTGTGTGTGTGTGTGTGTGTGTGTGTGTGTGTGTGTGTGTGTGTGTGTGTGTGTGTGTGCATATATACAAACAAGGAAATCTCTATATTTGTTTGTGTTTGTTGAATGGATAGATAGTTAAAATGAATATTGCAAAAAGTACTCATTGAAAGTGAGAATGTAGAAATGCTGGTAAATTAAAAATGAAAAAGAAAGCATCTAGCATGGTCAGAATAATTCTGATTTAGCAAGCACAGAATTAATGATAGATAAATCTCTTTGCACGTTGGTAGATGTTAGACAACACAATATCTGTTCTTACTGTTAGGTCTTGTTTTTTCTTTTTTCTTTATTTTCCCATGTATGTGATAAGCACAAAATTACAAATTATCTATTTCTTCCCTTCCCTTTCCCCCCAATTTTTCACACTCTCTTCTCAACCCTTTTTCTCCTTTATTTTATTTTTTTTTATTATTATTTTTTTTTTAAGTAGTACAAACTAGTAAACTCCACCCCTTCTCCTTCCTCCCGCCTCACAATTACATAGGTGAAAAGGAAGAAGATTTCTTTTGCTTATGTTTAGTTCGGCTCTTCCTAAATTTTGTCTGTCATAAAGAAGAAAAGAAGAGTTGGATAGTGAACCGCTAATTAACCCCTTTCTCGTTACCAGGCCAGTCCCGTCCGAAGCAGTGCACCAAGGAAGTCCTGGTTGCTGTTTCCTAACCTGTCAATGTTGGATGTCAGTAACAACCTCCTCAGAGAGTTGCCAACAACACTACATGAGCTTACAAACTTGTCTGTAAGTAACAACAGCACCAAAAGAGCAGAGCATGTGTACATATTCAGAATTTCTTTTTTAATCACTCATATAAGAGCAACATTAGGAAATGGAAGGAAGTTTATATAGTAACATATTTAAGCCTTTTTTTTTTCTCCCTCTTTTTATCTTTTTATTAATTTACCAAAGTAGGGATTCTTTATTCAGTTGAGTTTGAACTACACTTTTTTCAGTCTGTTAAAATAGTATTCTGTGGAAGATTTTAATATTTTATCCCTTTTATCTTCCCACAGGTTCTCAACATATCAGGCAACACTGACATTACAGAGCTGCCCCCGGAGATGGGACTCCTCTCTAGGCTGTGGAACCTCAACACACGTGCATGCTCTCTGCAGGAGCCCTTGAAGTCCATGATTGATAGCAAGAAATACAAGACCATGGATGTGATTGGATATTTGAAGGTACAGGAAATTCATTCCAGTTTTTAGAATTGTGTGAATGAATGAATCCTTGCTTCTGTCTGTGACTTGAGGACAAGCTTAAGTAATCAATTATTTAATGATATATCATTAATTATGCATTGGGTATGTTCTTGCACAGAGTATACTTGAGGATGCAAGACCATATGCCCGTATGAAGTTGATGATTGTAGGCGTGCAAGGCATTGGCAAGACGTCCCTCCTGGAACAGCTCAGGCAGGAGGGCACTGGGTCGTACAGGAAGAAGCCAGTTGAGGTCAGTTCCTTTTT